CCAACTCAATAACGCGTAACCCTTACCATACAGGATTTTAGAGAAGTGGGCAAAGCATAACGTGCACACTTACCACTTATGTGGATTTTAGAAAAGTGGGCAAAGCATAACGTGCACACTTACCACTTATGTGGATTTTAGAAAAGTGGGCAAAGCATAACGAGCACATTTACCACTTATGTGGATTTGAGAAAAGTACAAAGCTCAAATACAACCCTCAAAGGTGAGGGGAGCACTACCCGAGACAGCATTTACACTTATAGGAAGGTTCTCGTAATGCCACCTATACTTCCGGCTCGATGCCTCAGCAAGAGGGATATCCTGGTGATCGGGGAAACCCCTCAGGGCGACCCAGACACGGTAGACCAGTCAGGGTAGCATGAAAGTGTAACCCCAGCCCGGACGTCCAGGAAATCTTTGCAGTGATGCGCCGGGGCCTGATGAACACGAAGGCTCCCGCCGAAGCCTGTGTTATGGCCACATGATCCAGGAAGTATGAAGCCGAAAACCGGCTTTACTTACCGTCTGGACATACAGTGGGGCAAATAAGTATTTGATACACTGATGATTTTTCAAGTTTTCCCACTTACAAAGAATGGAGAGATCTGTAATTTTCATTGTAGGTACACCTCAACTGTGAGAGACAGAATAAAAAAAAAATCCAGAAAATCACATTGTATGATTTTTAAATAATTAATTTCCATTTCGAGATGGTGGTTACAGGGGAATTAGGAAGGTGAAGATAAGGGCAGACGTAAGACCCCCGAAGGAAATGAGTAGATACTGAGGTATCACTCTGATCCGGACAAAAGCACTGACGCCCTGTCTGGATCACATCCCTTAGGTCTTTTTACTCACCTTCCTTTGACCCGCGATACTTCCTATCCCGACCCGCGGGCGGGGGAGGAGCGCAAGCCGCGACACTAGCCTTCTGAGTCAGTATCTGATCCTCAAAACTGAGACGGGCTAGGACCCATGGGTTGTTCGGGCTCAGACCTGGACTTCTATCCCGGTCTTTCAGCCGGTCAGCCTGATATGTTTGGAGCATCACCATCGTGTGCAATGACGCGACAGCCCGACCAGCTGCTGCTGCGTATGCCCTGGCATCCGAGCGAGATGTCAAGGAGGGGAGTTTTATAGGACGTCTCACCCATAGAGAGATAGCTGGCCAGCGTCTCTCTATATGGGCATCTTCTCATAACTGCTTTTGCGCATCACCTCGATGTTGGCATAACTTGTATGCTGGAATCGATGGATGCGTGAGGAAAAAAAATGGCCTCTTCCATTCCTTCTCAATCTTTATATGAAAAATAGGAAGAAAGGAAGGCTCACCTGAGCTGGAGGGTTATGGCCAGAAAAATAACGTTCATCGAGATATTTCGCGACGTCACTTTCTTCACCCGCTTCACGGCAAGTAAAGCCTTGCCGTGGGTGCGTGCTCTTTGCCCAAACAAACAACGCATAGATCGTGTGTGTCATCAGATGTTAAACAACATCAACACGAATCCTTAACACATCCTTAAATGCTTTGCTAGTGCTCGCCATAATGAGATAGAGATCGCTCTTACCACAGAAATGCACGCTTCAAGCAATACAGTCAATGAAGACGAAGAAGAGGATTATGTGTTCTCCCAGCGCCTATTTATACTGTAGTCGCACCGGTAGTGACGTCATGGCTATCGCCGGCCAACCAGTTGGTGTTTTTTCAATGTATGCTTCAGACACGGGTCACGATGAGGTGTTCCCCATAGCGACCCCTAGAGGACGCGGTTCGAAGTTCCCATGAAAGGGAAGCCGCATTTTCTACTTACGCAGAGCGGAAATATATCTCAGCAATGGCAAGAACCACGTAAATCCACCGGTGGCAAAGCCCCGAGGAAGCAGCTCGCTACAAAAGCAGCCCGGAAGAGCGCCCCAGCCACCGGCGGTGTCAAGAAGCCCCATCGTTACAGGCCCGGGACTATCAGAAGCTATCAGAAGTCCACCGAGCTGCTGATCCGCAAACCTCCTTTCCAGCGTCTGGTCCGAGAAATCGCTCAGGATTTCAAGACGGATCTGCGCTTCCAGAGCTCCGCTGTCATGGCCCTGCAGGAGGCCAGCGAGGCTTATTTGGTCGGTCTGTTTGAGGACACCAATCTGTGCGCCATCCACGCCAAGAGAGTCACCATCATGCCCAAAGACATCCAACTGGCCCGCCGCATCCGCGGAGAGCACGCTTAAACCCGCCACATTACACCCCAAAGGCTCTTTCAAGAGCCACCACAATCACACTGAACGAGAAAATTTCCACTATAACGCTTATTACGAATTAAATTTAAAATTACTCCTAAAACGCTTATGAATATAATAGTCAAGTGCAACTATATATGGGCCATTCCACAGAATTGGTGGAAACTGCTGTCCCACAATCAACAAACACATTTAAAATGCATTTAAGTGTTCAAATCTTAGATGTTTACAAATATCCTTTTATCTATTGGAACCCACAACAATATTTAAAATATCTGTAAGCTTTATATATATATATATATATATTCTTTGTAAATGATGAAATAAAATTGTGCCCTGTATTTTCATGTCTTTGTCCTTTTCATGTATGTTTTAGTTTTATTTCATTGACTGAGAATGATTTTAAGTGCAGCCCTACATTTATGAGGAATTATTCCTGTCTTTCACCCACAGCTACATAGTGAGTACATTGGTCTCATCATTTGGAGATGTGCTCAAAAGTCTAACAATCTGTGTGTAACGTTAAGGAAAGTCACTACCTAACACCTTTTTTCTACAATTAAGCACCCTTTTATGTGTGTTACTTCATATCATATAGTTTGTATATGTGTACACGTATCAGTTACAAAATATTATTACTTGCCTATAAGGCCCTTAATGGGTTACCTTAATGCTTTGGGTGTGTTACGACCCTTTAAGATGGTCTAGGGGTAAAAGGAGTAACATTAAATCTGTGGCAAATCTGTAAACTTGGAGGCAGCCAAGAGACAATACAGGGACAAACTGTCAACGAAAGTGATTTAATATACAAGGTGAAAAGAATCCATACAACTACAAAATATAAATCATTAAAGAGACAACCCATATGTACAAATATTTACAACGCCATCCGAGTCACAAAGTAACAAAATAACCAAACGAAATGGCAAATCAAAAAAAAGGGAAAGGATCCATGTCTTTTTGTCATTTTCATGTATGTTTTAGTTTTATTTCATTGACTGAGAATGATTTTAAGTGCAGCCCTACATTTATGAGGAATTATTCCTGTCTTTCACCCACAGCTACATAGTGAGTACATTGGTCTCATCATTTGGAGATGTGCTCAAAAGTCTGACAATCTGTGTGTAACGTTAAGGAAAGTCACTACCTAACACCTTTTTTCTACACTTAAGCACCCTTTTCTGTGTGTTACTTCATATCATATAGTTTGTATATGTGTACAATGTTCAGAAGAACTGTGCTGCTAGCTAAGCATGTGCTGATTAGCATTTGTGAGTAAAACAAATCTAGAAGCGCGGCTCTAGACGATGATGAGGATGATTTGTAAGTCGCTTTGGTTAATAAAAACGTCTTCAAAAGTAATGTTGAAGACATTTAGTTAGAACTGATTTTCTTTAATGAACGCATCCTTATATTATGTGTTAATCAAATATTTTGGTCACAGATCATTTTAACACACTGTCTCAACATGTTTATATTTCCTTTCATTTCAGCTGAAAGGGAAGACCAAAGGAAGGCCTGTCATGGGATTTGAATTTGACCATCTTGTGTGTCTATGGAGAAGACCAAAAGCTGCAAAAGCAAACACTTCCAATGGTACGTCTGTGTCGGTCTGAGCACTTTGACTGAACTTTACTGCAGAGACATTTTGCACTGCAATTGATGTTTCTTAAACTTTGGTTTACATACGCTACGGCCCCATCAGGAAGAACCCCCAGAAAAGTCTCATGTTGAAGTAATAATAATTCATACAATTTACCAAGTCTGCATATTCATATGATACTGCACAAGCATACTAGTACAAAATTCTACTACTTTTACTCCTACTGCTGTCATTGGCCTTTGCCTCAACT